TCTAATAATTACAACAGACATGAACAAAAAACCACGGGGTTACACCCATATCTCCATTTCCTGACCAAAGGTCCATTTTGGTAATTTGACAGGAGACAGGTAACTGTAAAAATTTGGTTCATGCTTCCTGCAATGGAGAGAGGGATAGTGGAATCAAAGAGTTTATTTTCTTTAACTCTTCTTATTAACCTCTCAACATGCACCCTCAAACGGGCAATGGACTGGGTCTTCAAAACGTCGACCTCTGACATTTGGGCCCTCTTGGAGAGGAAGGCAGGACGATGAACAGTCCCAGGTACGAGATCATCCACCAAGAATCCCTTGTCCACCATGATGGCCATGTCCAGTGTCAAGAGTGATGTAATCCCTGATTGACGGAACACTTCCTTGTCACTCATGGAACCCTCAAACAGTGCTGACACAAATGTCAGGGCTCCGTGAGGAGACATGCCCACCATGGCCTTAAAGGTACAGTGGGATTTGTAGGTGGAGAAGACTTCACTCTGGAGGAGCAGGGATGAAGGTGTTTGACACCGTAGTTCTGTACAGTCCAGGATAACTTGTGTGTCACTGTAGCGGCCATCAAAATCCTGTGGAAGACTGGAACTCACAGCTGCAGGAGACATCCACACACAAATTGAGCCCAATAAGCAGTACAGGAAGTTGGCCCATGTCACAATAATGCGGCTGACTGTTGCTCTGTGGATGTTAAATCGATGGCCCAGTTCCCTCTGGGTACATCCAGTAGACAGGTAGGAGAGGAAAAGAAAAAGCTCATCTATTGGCAGCAGTTTCTGGACAGAAAATTATTTTAAATGTTAGTTCAAAACCAGCATTCTCATTGTGTGTGCGTGTGCGTGTGCGTGTGTGTGTGTAACTTACAGTTGGTCTGGTAAAAGGGGTTTCAGTTGTTGTACTCATGACGTCGGTTTTCTTTGCTCTGGTGACCCTGACCATTTTGGCTGTTGCTGCCTCGATCAAGTTCCAAAACGCCTTCAGATGCTCATATGAGGGGAACGTAAAACACATAAAAAAAAATATATATATATATATATAAACTGTCACTCTCCACATTTATAACTGTGAAAACAGTTTTCAAATTTTGACACGGTACAACTAAGAACATAAATATCTTTCTTTGAAATTTTATGTTGTAAAGTGGAAAGAAAATTATACATGATTTGAAGGTTTGTAATTTTTTTATAAATTGAAAACTATTTTGAGCACAAATGTTCAGCCCCCTTAAATCAGAGAGTAACTTCTAGTCTTCATAAGTTTCCTGATGATTGCTAATGGCATAATAGTCAGCCTGTGTGTCATCTAATCACAGAAACCAACTATTTTCACTGACCTGAGGCTGTCACTAGCTGCTGTATTTGTATTTGACATTAGTTTACACACGGGTGGACTCCATAGCCATTTGTAATCATTAAAGCTATTTCTGAAGGAATATTGGTTACAGAAAAGGGAGCCGATTACTCTTACACACCACACTTTTCAGTATCATTTGTAAATACAGTACTACTAGTACTAGTACTACTACTAAACTACGACAAAATATACAATGACTCAAAGCGTATTAATTTTTTTCAGAAGCATAACGTAATATTTAGATTTTACAACTCTGACCTGGTGTAAAATCTGATGTCTTCTGGTGACGTAGAAAAACGTTCCAGTCCAAACGGCTTTTGAAGACTACAGGATCGGAGCTGCTCTTTCAGTTGCTCAATTTCTCTCAGCATGCTGTGATATTGCTCCCGGTCAACACACACGGTTCTGCTGGCGCCGTAGTCATGGTCCACGACCATAGGTACCATGACGGGTGGTTCATTGTCCTCAATTGGATCCGTCGAATCAGGTTCTGGATTAGATGGTCGACAACGGCGCTCCCAAACACCTGCTCGTGTCTTCCTGCTGTATTTGTTCCACTCAAATAATGATGGAACCGACCCAGCTGCTAAAATTCGTCTTCCCTTTTCTGTAGTAATTACTTCATTCTCCAGGAAATGTCGGCTACATACCTTGGTGTGAGGAGTTACCGTAAATCCCTCTCTTCTGATTTTTTGCAGCCAGCACAAACGAAGGCTGGTCTCCTTAGGGAAACGGTGAAAGCTCAAACGGCTATTATAGCGACCTGAAGACGAGCAAAGCGGCACACAACAGTGCTCCTTAGACCCAAACACCGTCGGCTGAAATCTAAAGCTGCCACGCACGTTATATCTTTGTTTATTTGACGCAGCAACACTCATTTTAGTTGTTTATCTCTGGGATGACAGGATACAGGAATTAAACCGGAAACTGGAATGCCGACATCCGGTCAAAGCGGAAGTGATTCAGGACGCATGTGCACAGAGCCTATTACACATAAATTTAGTCTTCAGCATGAAATTAGGGGGTTTTGGGATAAATGGCATAAAACACTTAACTGCTGTGTCGACGCTGCTTTACACAGCAGAGCTCAGTCTGGGAGCGTGAAAAGCCTCGTCGGCTCCGTATACTAATACAAATATATTAAGGTTTTTCAAAGCTTTTGTAAAATGGGAATTTGAGCAAATATGTCAAGATTTTCGTAGATTTTAGTAAAATGTGAGTAAATTTGCTGCAGTTAGTCAAAAACAGTCATTTCTTGTTTTATTGGAATGGGCTAATAAATAAATATGTAGGTAATTTAAAACAATGCATGAACATGTCATTTTAGTCATAAATGTATTTGTGGAATTTTAAGCCTTAAAATAATTAAACTTCCAGATGTTCCAAACATCACCTTCCTGTGTAAAATGCCCATTTCTTCACGAAGACCCCTGCTGTGGTTTACCTGAGCATCATGAACCTTTGCACAGGTGGATTCATGCAGTTTTTAAACTTCTCATTCTCAAAGGGGTTATACTCTGTAAAACAGGAACATCTTTTTTCTGTAACGTTGTGTGAAGCGGTAGCAGCTGCTGTGAAGCTGCCACTTCTGATGAAATCTCCCATGTGATGGCTTCATTTTCATACCAAGGTTGATAGAATGGAGTTTAATTGTTGAGAAACACTGTTTTATTTTGGCATGTTATTTTTGAACAAGGTTTTCAAGTAAATTAAGAGATCAAAACAAACAGCGTAATAGTTCTGATACTTTTTGTTCGACAGGTAAACTCAACAACCACAGCTCCGGTGTCTGACATCTCCCACTTGGTCAGAAAGAAGGTGAGAACATCTAGGTGTTAAATATCTCCCGTCACTGTGAGAAGTGTATTAATATGAAATGTGTTCATATCACTGGATGGATTTTAACAAAGTCCAAAATAATTATTAAATATCTACAACTCTTGCACTTTTGAAATCAACCCAATTCAATATGGCCATCGCAGCATGCGTACGTGTGCGGTGGTTGCGTCATCCCCTACTTACAGTGGAGCTTGAAAGTTCGTGAACTCTTTATCATTTTCAATATTTCTGCATAAATTAGACCTAAAGCATCAGATTTTCACACAAGTCCTAAAAGTAGATGAAGAGAACCCAGTTAAACAAATGAGAAAAATATTGTACTTTGTTTATTGAGGAAAATACTCTAATGTTACATATTTATGAGTGGTAAAAGTATGTGAACCTCTTGGATTATTAGTTAATTTTTAAGGTGAAATTAGAGTCAGGTGTTTTCAATCCATGGATGATGATCAGGTGTGAGTGGACACCTGTTTGATTTAAAGAACACGATCAGTCAAAGTCTGCTCTTCACAACATGGTGGTGGAAGTGGATCATGGAGGAACAAAGGAGATTTCTGAGGAGCTCAGAAAAAGAGTTGCTGATGTTCTTCAGGCTGGAAAAGTTACAAAATCATCTGTATATAGTTTGGACTCCACCGATCCACAGACAGATTCTGGACAAATGGAGGAAATTCAAGACCTTTGTTACCCTCCCCAGGAGTGGTGGACCAACAAAGATCACTCTAAGGTGTGGAGGTCACAAAGGAGCCCAGGGTAACTTCTAACAACTGATGGTCCCTCACTTTAATGTCAATGTTCATGATGTTCATGCGTCCACCATCAGGAGAACTCTGAACGTCACACCAGGTACTGAAAACAAAGTTTCACATACTTTTACTGCTCACAAATATGTAATATTACATAATTTTCCTCAATAAATAAATGACCAAGTATAATATTTGTCTCATTTGTTTAACTGGGTTCTCTTTATCTACTTTTAGGACTTGTGTGAAAATCTGATGATGTTTTAGGTCAGATTTATACACAAATATAGAAAATTATAAGAAGTTCACAAACATTCAAGCACCACTGTACAGAGAGCAAACGTGTCGCATGGCAGACGATGTGCATTCCTTAAAGAAATGCTGGTTCCGTTCATAAACCGTTACGATGAAGCCGTTTGATCTGTTTCAGAGGAAACCAGAAAGTCCAGTAAAGGAGGCGAACGTCAAGAGGGTCAAGCACGAAGGTCCAGAACCTCTCACCACCAAGGCTCACAAAGCTAACGGAGGTTCAAACGGACATGCTGAGAACGTCGAGGTGACCTCGTAAGATGTCTGGTTGGCTCTCAGCACAAACGTGAAGGTCTTGAGGTGTAGAGGTCACTGTGGGTTACAGCTGTCATTGATCAGCAGTCTGTCATTGATCAGCAGTCTGTCATTGATCAGCAGGTGTCCTGTCAGTCTGTCATTGATCAGCAGTCTGTCATTGATCAGCAGGTGTCCTGTCAGTGAGTCAGCTCTGACTTCTATAGCAAGTTTTTATGAGAATCCTGTAAACTTCACTGAACTTCTCGTGTCATGTTCTTTCAGTGAAGTTATCCGTTCACTCTTATGAAGCGTTAACACTTTGCTGTTTGTAAATACATTTTCTATGCATGTTTGTTCACAAATGTCACCCATTTAAGATGAAGGGATATTAAAACCAATCACTGTGATTACTGATCAGGAGTCATGTCTGTAAACGTGTTACATTTTTATCAAAGTGTTTTTGTTTTGTTTTTCCTTTCGCTTTCCTTTTTGTTTCATCTCTGCACTCGTTTGACTCGAATGTTCGCTGAGGTGCAGAACGGAGAAGAACCTGAGCCTTTTTGCTCCAGCACATCTGTAAAATGTTCCTGATGATATTCTAATTTTTTGCAATGCACATCATGAAAAGGTTGTTTCTTTTGTCAGTCATTTAAGTGAAACTCATGGATTCTCTACAGCGTGAAATATTTTCAAGCCTTTTTGTCATTTTGATGATTATGACTTACAAAACACTAAATTCACCGTCTCAGAAAATTAAACTGAAGAGGTTCATTATAAAAAAACCAAGTTAACTTCCTCAAATCAGCCACTGTAAGCCATAATCATGAACATTACAAAAATAAAGGCTTGAAATGTTTCTTTAATGAACAATGGCACCGCTAACCATGTAGTTAGCAGCTAATGCTAAATCTTTAAGACACGTCGTCTCCTTCTAGTTGAAGCTGTTGACCAATCACATCTGGTCTCGTATAGATGTAAGCCAATAGCGTGCCTAGCTGACTCGGGGACACGCCTACAAATGACAGGAAAAAACTTGAGTTTCTTTAGCGGACTTAAAGTTAGCTAAACTTTATTTAGCAGAAGCCAATTGTACCGTTTTCGAAGTTAGCGAAAACGCCCATCTGCTAAACAAAATTAGTACCACTATTAACAGAAATATTCCCATTATTGGTAATTGATCTATAATCTGAGTTTCACTTTTTGAAGGGATTGACAAAAAAACATTTGAACATTATCACAATATTCTAAGTTTTGATGATGTGCCTGCAGAACAAACTGAACTAAGACTGGTGCTGAAAATAAAAGTTTTGTGTTGCATTCTGTCGAGTCGAATGTGTTCATGTCTGAAAACGAGTGAGATCCTCTTGATCGCATTATTTGAGGATGTTGTGGAAGCAGATTCAGAGCATTACTCAAACTGCTTCAGAAGTTCATCAAAGTTCATGCGCAATGATCCATGTAGAAAATCCAACGAAGTTCAGTCAGGTCATCTGGACGGTTTATTTTTGTTTGTTTGTTGTTTTGTTTCTGTTGCAGAAATTCCAGTTATTTGTTCAGAAGGTTGTGTAAAACTAAAAAAGACTATGTTGAGTAATTTCACTTGAGTTTGCTGGAAGGTCCTTGTCTAACGGATCAAAACTTCTTGCCTGCAGGTACTGACTTCGTGACAACCTTCAGTTATGTTGCCACCTGATGCTTCTTGAGTTTTATTCTTTATTTGCACTCAGAATCTCATAAAACTAGCTCGGCAATCATGGAGAAGAACCTGATAGTCAGAGTTCCTATGACAGGACTCTGGACTATAGAACTAGGGCAGTGTCCCAACTGAAACCTCAGCATAAATTTTGAAGGACCGTGAGGACCAAGAGGGAATTGTTTGACCCTAATGAGATCATCAGAGGTACAGCACAGGTTGAACTGGGAGATCAAGTTGGAGGCCAGACTGAGATGGATTAGACGTGTCCAGAGGAGAGACTGAAAAATTGGTAGGATGTTAGAAATGCAGCTGCCAGGAAAAAGACCAGCGATATATGAATGCAGTTGGAGAGGATAGAGTAAGATGGAGGATGATGACTCGCTGTGGTAACCTATGAAGAAGAAACCAGGCACCGCTCCTCACCTGCACAACACAGGCTCTACTGTAAAGCATGGTGTTGACAGCATCATGCTGTGGTGTTGTTGAGCAGGTGTAGGGAAGAAGCTGAAGGGAGGTAAATCCTGAAAACCCTTTCCACAAACTCAGGATCTCAGACTGGATCAAATATTGATGTTCCAACTTTATATTGACCTAAAGCACACAGGAGGGACAACTCTGTCAATGACCTAGATCATGGCTGTTCAGTCCTAAACCACTACCCTTCTTGTAGTTTCTCTGCTCCACCATCCATCCATTATCTTTTACCCGCTTCTTCCATTTTGGATCATGGGGTTCACCGGTGCCCATGTCCAGAAATCACAGTGCGGGGTACACCCTGGAGTCCAGGGCCTGGACAGGTCTCCAGTCCATCACAGGGACACATGGAGACAAACGAGACAAACAACCATTCACTTACTCACACCTAGGGACAATTTGGAGAAAACCCACACATGCACGGAGAGAACATGCAAACTCCACCCAGAAAGGCCCCCGGACCGGGATTTGAACCAGGGACCTGCTCGCTGAGAGGCGGCATCTCTACCAGTTGCGCCACCATGCTTCCCCTGCTCCAACATGCACGGAAATAAAACGTGCAGTTGCAGTCCTTCAGGACCAGTATTCCCTGTCCAAGAGTGAACCAACAAGAGACTTGACCTGAGCCCTATCAACCTGCAAAGGGTTCCACATCCAACCAGACTGTTCGGATTTGTCCATGAAGCACTTCCAGATAGTCCACAGTCCTGTTAAGATGTTCGTGTCAGTCGGTAAAGTTCTGATAAGCATTCACAGAAGTTCTCGAGGGGGGTGGGGTTGCAATAGACAGCTTTCTCAGTTTACACTTGTCCCAGGAGAATTTTGATAAGTCGGCCTGCGTCAAGGCCAAACATGGGAGTCAAATTCAGATAAGCCACAGTTGTTGATTTTTTTCAGGCAGACTTATTTCTTATCAGACTTGAGTTCTGCTGGTACTTTTAATCCAAATGGCCAGATTTTGGGGCATTCCACTGATCCGTGCTTATTAGGTCATCCCCAATATGCTGGCGTGTCCCAGAAGTCGTAAGCGGCCTGTGATTCTCACAAATCGCTTCCATCTTATGGTTTAGCTCATAAATCAGCTGATTTTGAGTGCTTGAAGCACAAACCAAACCTGCAGACAGGGTCGGCAGCTTTGCCATGGCCGAAACTGCTGCCACAGTCTTCTGTAATAGCCGATAACATAGGTATTTGCCGGTGCCAAAAAGCAGAAACCCTGCTATCATGATTCCAATATTTTCAGCGTCCTCCTGAGACAATACGGAAAGTCACATCAGATCCACGACGTATCCTGCCGCGTGCGTTTCAGTGGGCATGAGGGTTCTACAGGACTCTGTCGCTTTGTTGAAAAAAATGTATCGATTGCGTTGAAAGTCCAGTTGACCAGATCCTTGACAGTAGTTTAGGTTTCGGAAGACGTTTAAATAAGAGCTCCAATACACAAGAGCAAAAAAGCAGGAGGACGGGAGAGGGATGAAAGGCGTCCGTCTTGCATGAGAGCGAGTGGTGAGCGAGTTCCCTCTTGTTTCAAACGGGCAACAATCATTCCAGTCCACACAAACTCCTCCACCAAAGGACTGAAGGACTAGACCAGTAGTCCTGACATCCATCATTATGAAAGCCTTTGAATGCCTACTGATGATCCACCTGAAGGACAAAACGGGTCATCTTCTGTATCCTTCTCGTCTGCCTATCAGGCAAACAGGGCAGGGGATGACACCATAAACATGGGCGTACACTTCATCCTGCAACATCTGGACCATCCGAGGACCTACGCAAGAGTCTTGTTTGTGGACTTGAATTCAGCGTTGACCGACAGATCATCTCCACCAAGCTCTCCCAACTTAGCTTATCTCCTGCAGTCTGCCAGTGGACCACCAGCTTCCCGACAGGCAGGAAGCAGCAGGTGAGGCTTGGTGACGATGTATCAGGAGTAAGGACAATAAGCACAGGAGTTCCTCAGGGATGTCTTGTCGTCACTGCCCTTCCTTTATGCCAATGACTGCACCTCCACCACCGCTGCTGTTAAAATAATTATATTTGCAAACAACACCACTATCATTGGACTGGCAAAGGACCATGACGAGTCTGCGTATCAGCAGGCAGTTGACTGACTGGTGCAGCACCAACAACTTGTGGATGAACACAGATTGTAGAGATGACCGTGGACTTCAGGAAACACTCCTCTTCACAGATCCCTCACAATAGCAAGCCACCCTGTGTCAGACTTACCGGTTTCTTGGAGCTACCATCCATCAATATCCTGAACGCCTGGACTGTTTTTCTGCTGGAAATGATCCTTGTTTGCTTCTTGTTGTTTCACCTTTATTCTCATTCTTCAAATTATTGCATTCTGGGTGGAGTTTGCATGTTCTCTCTGTGCATGCGTGGGTTTTCTCCAGGTACTCCAGTTTCCTCCCACAGACCAAAAACATGCATGTTAGGCTGATTGGTAACTCTAAATTGTCCCTAGTTGTGAGTGAGAGTATGAGTTTGAGAGTTTGTCTCTATGTGTCCCTGCGATGGACTGAGACCTGTCCAGTGTGTCTGCTACCTCTCGCACCAGTGACTGCTGGATATGGGCACCAGTGACCCCCGTGATCCAAAAAGAAAATAGTGGATAAAGATGATGAATGGATGAATTTCCATACTATCTATGCACATTTTCATTTGTTCTGCTGCTTTTGTCTTTTATTAAAATTTGCTTCTGTAGGACTGCGGTAGCTTGGTGGTCAGTGCCATGGCGTGATAATCCTGAGGTTGCTGGTTCGAGCCCAGATTGCATCAGGATGGCTATCCGGCATAAAACACTTGGCAAATCTTTCATGCTTGCTGTGTTGCGTTTATTCAAATTTTCTTCTGTACTTCACCTTTTATACCTTTTGTGTAAATTGTACATGTAACTATTCCATGCATGTGTGAGCATACTTGGCAATAAAAGCTATTCTGAATTGTATGCACAGTAATGGCTATCTGACTATATTGGATGAGGTGATTGGACAGCTGTCCTCCACCTTTTCTGATCATTTACCTTAAAGTTGCTTGTGCCGATGCTCTGCTCTGACGATCACAGCTACACACAGTCACTCACTCTTGGTGCATGTGTGCCAAATACAAATTTACACCTCCACTACTTTATTTAGGAGCGTCTCTGATCCACATTCCACGTAATTATTAACTTTCCTGTATCTAGACATCATTTTTGCAGAAAGAAGAAACCCATGCAGGACCTTTTGACATCAATTTGCATGTTTACATAGAGGCGTATCAGGGGGATGTGTTGTGCACTTAGTTCGATGTAAATTGGGATGTATGAAGGATAATCTGAATATTTTTGTTCTTGAAGCTGCTTTCAGCTCAGAAGGTCTGAATACTTAACCCTTTGAGGTTCACACCAAGAAAACAATCCAAAAAAAACTTATTTGCATTTTTTATTCTTTTAGATCAACGATAACCAAATTTTGACTTATTCATTTTTTCAAACAACTCGGTAGTTTTTAAAACACAGGCCTCTACCAAACGGTTGAGATAACCCTTTATGGTAAAACTCAGAATTGAAAAAAAAAGACCAAGATTGGTAAAACTGGGAAGCTGAAAACGCTCATGAAGAATCAGAATAAACTTTATTGGAATTGCACCGAGGTACAACGCGAATATGTACGTACAGTCGTCCGAAAGATGGGCGGAGTGCACGAAGCTGCAACTACAGGGGAGCGCGGCCATTTTATCCTTATCAGATAATAATCTTAGATAGGAAAAGGGGGAGAAACATGAGGGTAGATATTGGTATTACAAAAAAAGATCTTTCACATCTTGTCTATCAGGACACGATTTGGGACATCAAAAAACTCTACCAGCAAGCACAATGAGTCTCCTTCAAGGTCGAACCCACCACGCTGACGAGTCCCAGAAGCCGCAGGTGGTCTGCAATTCTCAATCGCCTCCACCTTACGGTTAAGCTCGTAAACCAAACGATTTAAAGTTCCCACAGCCAGGACCAAACCTTCACACTGACTCGGAAGCTTTTCCATGGCCAAAACTGCTCCCGCTGTCTTCTTCAAAAGTCGATAAAACAGAGCCCCGCCGATGCCAAAAAGCAGAGTCCCTGCTATCATAAATCCAAATATGTAGTCTCAGCTGGACATGCCGGTTCTCCAGGACCTTGTCGCTTTGATGAAAAAATCTTATCAATAGAGTTGAACGCCCACGATACCAAATCCATAATCTTCTTAATTTATGTTCGGGAGATGAGACCCAGGCGCTTCAGACAGACAGAGAGCAGAGCAGGAAGAAGGAACAAAACAGGGGAGGAGAAATTGAAGCTGCCACCTCGATGAGGGCCTGGGAGAAAAAAAAAAAAAAAAGAGCAGCATTTCAAGGAAATTTTCAGTCTCCTCAGGCCTGCAGTTGATTGGATCCCCCAATTCCTGGGCAGAGTATAAAGGTTGGTGTGGTGAGAAATATGTTGGATCAGCTCATCAGTGAAAAGTGTCTTGAAATACTGTAAGGGTGTCTTCACAGCATCAGGAGCTTCAAATACAGAATCAGGAACATTTAATTCATCGTCTTCATATTTCCAGATTCTGCGAGTGGCACTCTTTGGGTCTAGAGGTGAGCTTTGCTCAGGAGAGTCAACTGGTTCGGTTACTAAAAAAATTTTCTTGAGTATTTTTTTCTTTACGTCTCTTCTTATGGGGTGGTGGTTTTGAAGATGGGCTTGTGGATGCAGTCTCCTCCTCACTCATGGACTCAAAAGAAGTTTCATCTTCCTCTTGTGTAGGATGATAGTCAAGATCTTCTATTTGGTCATCATCATCGTTCAGATCAGAATCTTCAGGTTGTTCTGGTATCAGAGCCTGAGATTTGTGTGTCCTTGCACCATAAAAGGTTTTGCTGTCCATCTTGTATTTGTTGATAAAATTGAAGAAGAACAATGTGAAAATGTAGACATATGTGTCAGTTAAGAGGTTGGAATATGTCAGCATAAGTCAATAAGTGATATATTAGTTTTGTATCAATGCCATTATTATGAATGGACAAATCAACCATTTGGTAATGTGTATTTAGAAAATTATTTGACCTTCATGACATTTTTTTCACCAAAATATTACTATATAATGTTTAGTAAAACCTCTGACATAGTACAAAATTAAAAAAACATGTCTACCTTTGAGATTTTTGGCAAAAAAGCCTCCCTTTGTTAACATTCTCATCTCATGCTAACTTCCTGTGAGGAAGGTTCTTGAACAGGCCAACCTTTTAATGACACAGTGCCATCTAGTGGATTTTTGGGGCATTACAGGTGTAGAAAAGAAGGTAGGTCAAGTTTAGTGCAAGCCTCAGTTAGATACAAGGCCTCAAATTCTACTCTACCTAATATTTAGTTGGGAACTATGACATTTATGAAAGATATGACTTTGAAAAAACATTTTTTTCCTTATTAAAGGCTAAATAAACCAAATTATTGCTGTTAATTTAACTGTGTAACTTCACAAACTTCACAAGCTCTCCTCAGGGCTGTGTGTTGAGCCCCTTCCTTTTCACTCTGCTGACATATGACTGTGCACATACCCATCCAGGTTGTCATATTGTAAAGTTTGCAGATGATACAATGGTGATTGAATGCATCACAAATGATGAGTCCCGTTACAGGTGGAACACCTGGAGAGCTGGTGCAGGAAGAACCTTCACATCAATGTGAAAAAAAACAGATGGTTGTGGATTTCAGAAAGAACCTCCCCCCCCACCACCACCACCATAGGAGGATCTGCAGCGAAAGTGGTTCAGTTATAAATACTTGGGTGTGCACATGAATGACAACCTCAGCTGGGGAAACACCACTACCAGCCTGATCAAGAAAGCCCATCAGAGACTCTACTTCCTCAGATGGCTGAGGCGAGCTGGTCTGGGAAGCCCAGTCCTCACCTCCTTCTACAGGTGTGCAGTGGAGAGCATCCTGTGCTCCAGCATCACCGTGTGGCATGGAGGCTGCACAGCTGCAGAAAAGCTTTACAGAGTGGTGAAGGCTGCACAGAAGACTGTTGGAGTCGTCTCCCCACCATCACAGACATCTACACCTCCAGATGAAGAGAGCCACCTGCATCATGAAGGACCCCACTCACCCAGCACACACTTTTTGTCCTGCTCCCCTCAGGCAGGAGGTTGAGGAGCATTAAGTGTAGAACCACTAGACTGAGGAACAGCTTCCACCCTGAAGCTGTTAAGACTCATGAATCTCTAACCAGGATTATCACTGTGGGGAAAAAAAAATCACTGTAATGCCACTGATTGGAGATTTGACATCTGTGCTGCTAAGTATCCATGCTGCTGCTCACAACAGACTCAGGCTGCTGTTTAACACCATATTATTTTACATTATTTGTATTTGGCGTATATCTTACATCCTTGTACTGTATACTCTTTTAGTTTATATTTTTGCTATTTTTGGGTGTAACTGGGACCTTGAGTACACAGTTTTGTTCCACCTCATGTACCACATGATGTGAATGACAAAGAACCTTGAACCTTAATGAAACTGTGTTGATCAAATTTTGACAAAGTGAATGAGTTGAAATTCACTCAAAGTTGTGCAATTTCCTCTGAACTTCCACTGCACTTAAACGTTTCTGGTTTATGTCCTCAAATCCAAGCTTCTTAATGGAGCCAAAACAAAGGAGCTGTTATTCAAGACCAGAACGACTGCTCCTGGTGAAAAAAAAAAAAGGACGGTTGCAGGAAGTAACAAAATCAGTTTCCATGTGGGTTTTTAAACTCATCTTAAATGTAAAATGAAACATCACAGCAGTCAGAATCATAGTGAACTGGGTCAGCTTGTCAGGAACAAACTTTTATTAATATCATTAATAATGTGTCATCAGCATCATCAATGAAATGAGTTAGTCTGTTTAAAGCAGAATCAAGTGTGCATTCATTGCCCTTCTTTTCTTGAACACTTCAGTTCCTTAAAGCGAGGAAGAAAAAAAAAAGGAAGAGGGTAGGGGTGTCAGAGGTCAAAGACTGCAGTGAAGGAGGAAACGCAGGAAAAACGACGTCTGGCAGAGCAGGAATCTCCCCCTTCACTGGGATATGATTGGTTTTCCCCTCGTCCAAGAATGAAAATAAAATAAAAATCAAGAAACTCAAAATGGTGCTCTAAAACAAAGACGAGACAAGAAAAGAGTTGCTTTTGCTGGGATGTGTTGGCTGTTCTGTTGGTTTTGTTCCATAAAGCCACGTTAGGATTTGATGCAGTCGTCGTCATCCGAAGTCTGGCTGCTGCTACTGGTGTCGGACTCTGAGCCCTCCTCGACATGCGCCTCCGCCACACTCCTCCAGGGGGTGAAGTGGAGGGTCACGCCCCGCGTCCTCGGGAGAAATCCGTTTCTTTGCATGCCGTTCTTCTTAAGCTAGTCAAGAAACAAACGTTTGAAGCGTGGATTAGTGACAAATTATTATCAACAGGGTGTCCACACTTTTTCATCATGGAGCTCCTGTTAAAATGACCAAGTCAGTGATCTACCTGCTATAAGGCCCCGTTTACACAGAACCACCTCTGGAAACATTGTTTTTTCAATGAGAGCATTTACATAAAAACACTAGTTTCCATATCAGTCGGGTTGCCAGATAAGAAATTATGAAGTATAGTACTGTGGCTTTAAAATGATGGTATTTTGACCTAAACTGTCGTATGTGCTGAGTAAAGTTTTTCTAAGATGAGATGTGTGTTATGTTTGTTGAACATGTGCACAGAAAAGGAGGGGTAAATATGACAATTAAATTTATCTGGCAACCTTGCAGGGCTCAGATACAATGATTGCGCATGCAACATCTGCATGATCACAGTTGCGTCTAAACGTCTCTTTGGAGCCTGGATTTTATTTGTTTTGCTCCTACAAGCTGAAAAAGGCTGAGTAGCACAAAAACACTCTGCTCTCTGACATTTATTGTAACTGTTGTTACATTTATTATAACTGTTGTTACATTTATCATAACTGTTGTTACATTTATTATAACTGTTGTTACAATTATAACTGTTGTTACAATTATAACTGTTGTTACATTTATTATAACTGTTGTTACATTTATTATAACTGTTGTTACATTTATTATAACTGTTGTTACATTTATTATAACTGTTACATTTATTATAGCTGTTGTTACATTTATTATAGCTGTTGTTACATTTATTATAACCGTTACATTTATTATAACTGTTGTTACATTTATTATAGCTGTTGTTACATTTATTATAACTGTTGTTACATTTATTATAACTGTTGTTACATTTATAACCATTGTTGCATCTATTATAACCGTTGTTGCATTTATTATAGCTGTTGTTACATTTATTATAGCTGTTGTTACATTT